TCGTTTGTTTTCTGCACAGGAAAGAGCCACATATATCGACTCCTGGCATCAACTGTATTCACAGCAGCTTTTGCTTCTCAATGGCTGATAGTCTGGGGGATGTTTGAAACTGGAGATCGCATTTTGCGATTTCAGTTAGGAAGGTACATTCAGGGCTGCATAAAAAAATAGTTGTATGAATTATTGCCCAATAATGCATCGCTTTATTAAGAATGTTCACTTCAGCTCTTGGGGTCCACCTCTCTCAGCCTTGCAATTCTGCGGTTATACATACACAAAGCTATGCCCAGCCTTTTTTACTTGGGTGCTAAGGACTTGAACTTAGTGTGAATCCTTATGCTCACAGAGTAAGCACTCTTACCCACGGAGTCATTTCCCCATCCCTAACTTTAACCCCAGGGGCAGCAGACAGATGTATAAATGGGAAAGGCTGGTTCACAAAAGCTGAGTTCATGGGCAAGTCACAGAGATGGCCAATAGCCCTTTGGGATCTCTCTCCTCATGTGCACAATTGAACTGACTCTGTGGTGCCCTGAGCATCACGCAGGTATGGTTGAAGGATAAATGTCACTATGTCTGTGACACTTCTCAAGTGCTGGTATAGGGTACAAACAGCCACAGTTCCAAGTGAGTGAACACTAGTGATGTAAGTAATTTCACTGTCAGGACACTACAGAAGCGGTTGTCATCACCCTTGAACATGGGAAGTTAGATCACTATCCACGCCTTCACTCCCATGAGCTCTAATCACCTCCTCCCTGCCACTTACCATAGACAGGTCAGAGGTCATACCCAGCATTCCCTGCCACTTACCATAGACTGGTCAGAGGTCATACCCGGCATTCCCTGACACTTACCATAGAGTGGTCAGAGGTCACACCTAGCATTTCACACATGTGGAGTCAGGATACCAGATTTTTTTTTTAATTAGAAGCAACCTGCATCAAAACAATAGAGCATTTAAAAAAACTTTCCTATTTTAATTTTTGGTTTTTACAAATGGTTAAAAACAGTTACATTAATTTTTTTCCAAGGACAGAATTTCATTGTTTTTTTAAAACAAATTGTTGTTCTCATTTTAAGGAATGAATTCATGAGAAAATACATTTATCCAAAAGAAGGTCTCGGCCTCTTGGAAGGGTGACTGCTTTGCTTTGGGTTGCTGGGTTGAACCCAGTGCCTGTCATGAGCTAGCAAGCATTCTACTGCCAAGGTACAGCCCTGGCCAAATAATGACTTTTGGGGTGTCTAATATGGGCTCCGTAAACCATTTTCCTTACATGTGAATGTATAATTTTAAAAGCTCAACTCTTAAAGTACTGAATTTAGGTCTATTCAGCTTTTCTCACAGTCTCACTCCTCAGGCTTTCTCCTTTGTCCCACATCCTTAAGGGGTAAGTGTGAATGAAAAGTTGACCCCTTTCAGACCTGCTTCCCTGCTCAGCGGCTCTTTAGCCAAATAACCCAAGTAATCTCCATGTGGACTATGGAGTTCTGCCTTTGGGATGGGTACTCAGTGAACTAATTTCCTATGACATTTTAGAACGACTGTCCACTACTTCATTGTGGAATGTATCGGTTTTTCACGCCTCAGTGGGAAAGAGGATGAGGATCTCTTACTCTCAAAACTGTCCTTTTTCTGTCAACTGTGACTTGAACCTAAGAAGTTCTCAGTGGGTAGCTGGCAGCACCTACGTGGTCACTCCTTTCTCTCCCCCAGTGACGATGTGGACACCAAGAACTTCAGTGCTTCATAAGGAAATTTCATTCAGCCAAAAAGAGAAACAAAAGCATGCTGCTTACAAGGAATGGTTGAGAAGGGACCTCAAAGTATTGTGTGAAATAAGCCAGTTTCTCAAACATGTGTCTCACATGCTTTCACGTGTTGGGGCAAAAGTATGAAAGTAAAAGGGGGGCCCGCTTAAGGATGTGGGACAAGCAAGAAAGCCTGAGGGGTGAGTGGTAAGAAATAGCAATAGAGCTGAGTATTCTATATCTGTGTATGGAAATGTCATAAAGAAACTCATTACTGTGTGCAGTTAAAGGGTGCTAAGAAAATAGAAAGTTTTAATGGTTCATATAGTTTATTGTTTGCACTCACCTCGTCCTTAAATTATCACTTTTAGGGCATCCATACAACAAACGAGTAAACCAGAAGATGGCGTTGAAGATTAGTAATCATATCTTTAAATGCGATAGCCATGTGAAGTCTCAAAAGGTTTCTTGTAATGACTGTTGTTCAAACTTCTGAAAACAGAGGATGTGGATGGGTGAGGAAAATGTTGAAACCGTCTAAGCCAAGGCAGAGGACACGTGTATGAAAGTGCAGAAAAACCTCTGGCTTGCTGTTTTTGCTCTCAGCAGTCTCCTATTTGTGCACTCTTTGAAGAAAAGTAATTCCCGAGCAGCAATGCAGTGCTATCTGAAGGAGCAATCTGCTTTGCTCCGAGATGGGTCTCCAGCAACCAGGACAGTTCCCAACAGACAGAAGGTGTTCAAAGAATATTTTTGAATGAATGAAGCTGTGAAGGAAGAAGAGGGGAAAATGGGTGTGACCAAATTTTTCTTTGAACGAAACTCTGTTGTTTACTACCCAGGCTGTGACAATGGAAAACTGGCTGGGGTGCAATCAAGACATAGCATCCTGTTAATTTCTGAGAAAGCCTGTTGGTATCAGGAAAAAACACTACCTGTGGGCATCACTGTGTCTGTTTTGCAGTGGCTCAACTCAGATGTTTCTTCTGCAGTCCAGGACCCATGGTAGAAGATTAAAGGAAAAACCGAGAAAGAAGCGAAATGAAAAGGCTTTACGGACGTTCCAAGTTGCCCTGTGGCGGCTGTCATCTAAAGTCATATAGAAACTGGGGGTCTGACTACTTACCTGAAAATACCAAGTAGACAAACGCAGTCTTGCAGGCCTCCAATCCAAGCTGGCCTGGAGAAAGCCAGAGGTGAAAACTCGTGTTTGGGCATTCATATCCCACCGGGTAACTGCCTCTCACGAGGCTGAGGTTAAAGCTATCATTTTAAGGTGAACTGACATCCGGAAGTGCTAACTACCTGACTACTTAGGGATCCCCCATCTCTTTTATGTTGCCATAATTGAAACTTCGGGGGCTGTGCGTTGTCTGAGTCATCTCAAGTCATCGGTTTCATACATCCTAAGTGTGTAAGCGTTTCAGACACAGTATATGGACCACGGTTTATGGACTTGCCTTTCTATTTTCTTTTTAATGAGCGTGATATTCTCTCAACACTGCGGAGACACGGGGCTCCCGGTTGCCGGTTCCAAGGATGCCCCCCACCTCTCAGTCTATCTGTTCTGTCAGGTGCTGTGAGAACCAAGTTGCCTGGGCTCCAGACCCTCCACCACTCCCCGCCCTGGCCACGCCGGTAGAGTTGAGCGGTTTCTAGTTATCAGCTAGTCTTGGCACAAGTTCTAGTATCGAGCAGAGATTCCCTTGCAGAGATTCCCTTTGGGAGCTTGGTCCTCCACTGGAACGGGCCATAGTGACTGTCCCACCGGGCTGAGGATTTTCGAGTGTGTCAGAGTCCCAAGCTCCCTCCACTAGAGGGACTGGAGAAAGTCAGAGCTTGTTCGCAAGAGGACAGCCTCTGACCCTGTGGGCTACAGTCCGAAGCTCCTGTCCCAGCCGGATACCCTCTTTCGGCCTGGCACCCGCCAGGGATGGAGGGCGGGTCCTGGTTTAGGCTAGCCACGCCCTCGCAGGCGGAGCCGCCCCGCCCCGCCCAGCGCCGAGACCGGCCCCCCGCTCTATAAAGTTCCTCTTTCTCACCTCGCTTTCTGAGTTTCACCACTTGAACTTGGGACCCTTTGCTGCCCTCAGCTCAGAGTGCGGGTGAGGTAAGACCTGGAGTCGGGCAGAAGGAGGAGTGTGAGGCTTGTGACAGAGGACAGGGCGGGAACGAGAAGCCCATCTTCCATCTCCAAGCCCAAGCTCTGAGGGAACGTGGCAAGATAGGGGGCCCCTGCTCCCCCAATCTGCGCTGGCCCGGGACTTGTGCACTGTTGGTTCTGTGTGAGGCTACTTGAACGGGCGTTCCAGAGCATCCCCACGGGCAGGGCGGGACGAGCTAACGGGACTGTCCTGAGATCAGAGGATCACCCACTGGCAGCAGCTTGTCCACAGGGGTACTGCCATTGACCCTGTCTGCTCCTGTTGGAAGCTTCTTTCCCAATACTGGTTCATAAGGGACCCAAGCTCATAGAGGGCTCCAGCGCGCGATTCCTAGGTCGGATGGCCAAGGAGAGCTGGGAGCTCCAAACTCGGGGCGCTGAGCCCCTTCCCCCATGCCCTCCTTCGCTTCCCGCGCAGGGGAGCTGATGTTGCTGTCCGCAGCACCCAGTATTTCTAGCCACCTCTTCATCCCCGCCTGGGGTCGCGCTGACCCTCTGCAGACTGGAATCTCCCGCTTCTTGAGCCCCATACCCAGACTTCCACTTGTTGCTTCCAGGACCCATTTAATTGTCTCTGGCTGGGTAGGTAGGCCTGGCGTTATCCCGGGGACAGCGTGAGGATGTCCGAGAAAAAAGCCGAAGGAGAGGAGAACTAGGTGCTCCACACCTACAAGGCATGGGCACAGGACCTGGACAAGGACTAGTCCACGTGCCAGGTCCTTCGCGCCCGGGGCCACTAGGGCAGCCTGAACCCAGGAAAAGGCGAGATTAGAAACAGAGTGAGGTAAAAGTGGGGTGAAAACAGCGTGGAGCGGGCAGAGAGGGGTGAGTAAGCAAACGGGACGCCCAGGGTGGCACAAGTCTTGAAGTGTGTCTAGGAGCTTGCGATAGATGGGGTGAGAGGACCGACCTCGAGGACGGTGCGTGCCAGGGATGCTCCCCACACCTTCTCCAAAGTACCTTCTCTTGGGGGACCCTGGCGACATTGGCACTGCAAGCGAGCACTTCGCAGTCTCAGGGACTCCGGGGCCTCGTGGTCACTGCAAGAGTTTGGGACAGGGCGCCCCGAGAGCGATGCGACGGTGGCTGCAGGGAAGTTTATCTCCCCGCAGCGCGCGAGCGCGGGAGGAGGTTGGCACACGGCATGAACCTGGAGGCGGGCAGCCGGGGAGCAGAGTTCGGCATGAGCGCGGTGAGCTGCGGCAACGGGAAACTCCGCCAGTGGCTGATCGACCAGATCGACAGCGGCAAGTACCCCGGGCTGGTGTGGGAGAACGAGGAGAAGAGCGTCTTCCGCATCCCGTGGAAGCACGCGGGCAAGCAGGACTACAACCGCGAGGAGGACGCCGCCCTCTTCAAGGTTACCAGCACTGGGGATCCCAGGGCCGGGGAGAGCGGGGAGAGAGAGGGGAGAGGCGAGTCAGACCGCTCTGGACTCACTGTGCCTCCAGAGCAAGGGACCGGGAGGTCGGGGCGGGGGGGGGGGGGGGGGGGGAGGTCGGGGAGGCAGAGGCCAGACCGTCAAGCATCGGGTCCTGCTTGACAGAAGCCGCGGGAGAAGGGAAAGAGGCTGCAAGCTCTCCCGGGATCACACAAACGGAAAATCGGGTCCCTACACTAAGTTTGTGTGGAGGAAAGTACTTCTAGCTCCAGGAGCATCCCTGGGGCTCAGCGGTGCCCTGAGGCTGGGGTCCTGTAGCACAGCCCATTAGGCTGTTTCCTGCCACTGCCACCACAGACTACTAGGACCACTCTCCGCTTCCCACTCCCTACTTCGCTACTTTTCTGAGTTTCTCTGGGTTTTGTTTCTTTGGGCTCCCCTACTGTCTGGTTCTAGTTCTGGAAGCTTCCATTTCTGTTTCTGTTCTTTGGGTGATTTGGTCTATTCCAAGTCTTCCTATGGGAGCTCCCCGCCTCCACTATGTGAGTCCCTTAGGACTGATGTCCCCAGAGAGCTGGCTCACTGGACTGTGAAGCCCCCAGCCTCCACCTGCCAGCCGGGCAGGGGAAGGGGACTTCCTGCGGGAATTTGTTCAAAGTACCTCAGTGTGACTTCTTAGATGTCCTCTCTGGGGCCTGTCCCTTCCCCAGCTCTGCCCCTAGTCTTGTCCACACTTGATGCAGGCACTGGATGCGTTTAGGCCAGACTAGGGGGTCTCTCTATCTCACTGCAGGGTCCTGGGTGAGAAGTTATTTCCTTAGAGAACTCCGGTATCATCATGTTCCACATTTTGGCCAACAGCAAATCTGAGACACCAATCTTCCTTTCAGAAACACAATCTATAGACTCCATTTGAACTTTGACCTCTCCTTCTCTTTATTCGTAGGCCTGGGCACTGTTTAAAGGAAAGTTCCGCGAAGGGATAGACAAGCCCGATCCTCCTACTTGGAAGACGAGATTAAGATGTGCCCTGAACAAGAGCAATGACTTCGAGGAGCTGGTAGAGAGGAGCCAGCTGGATATCTCCGACCCTTACAAGGTGTACAGGATTGTTCCAGAAGGAGCCAAAAAAGGTAAGGGATTTCCCCAATGTAGGTCACAGGATAGAGGCAGTGGGACACTCACAGAGCCTTAATTCCTACTCAGGGTCACTTTCTACTTCTGTTTTGTAGACTGTTACCTCCTGCCCCGTGGCCACTCCCAGCAGCCTCTTTGCCCATGCTCTCTGGGTTATAAGTGAAAACCTTGTGGTATTAATATAGGGTTACTTCTTTAAAGACTTTAAAGCCCGTGGGCACGTGGCTATGCACATCACATGCAGGCGTTAGGTATTTCCAGTTACTCCATTCAATTAGGATGTGGACCAAAATTCCAAACAAAAGCTGCAAGATCCGTTGAAGTTTTACTTACCTAATATTCTCTAATAATTAAGCAATTTTTAGAGGGGAAAGCACACCGCACACCCCATAAATATTCACATTTATTGTAATAAAAATGCCAGCGTTTCTTTCTATGGCCTGCTGGGGTACTTATGAAAATTTAGATATTCACTTCCCTCTTTCAAAGATTCCGACTGGTGTGTCTAGATGAGAGCCCAGGGATATGCATTTGTTCCAATCATGCAGGGTGCCTCAACTAGGCACCAGCTCACTGCCTGAAACCACTAGGTGGATCACAGAGTCCTGTGTGGTATTGCTTTCTCTGGCTGTCACACACAAGTCTGAGCTGGTTTAGTCAGTTTAACAGCAGAGACAAGTAACTGCTGGAGGGAATTGTTTAAAAAAAAATAACAAAAAAAAAAAAAAACCACCTGATTGGTTAACATGCTATGCATTCTAAGAATAAAGTGCTCAGGTATTTTTCTAAGATTTGCTCTTCAGTTAAGCCAGTTCCTTCTTTTAGTGTTATTTCTTCTTCTTCTTCTTCTTCCCCAAACACAGGAGCAAAGCAGCTCACTTTGGAAGACACACAGATGGCCATGGGCCACCCCTACCCCATGACAGCTCCTTATGGCTCACTGCCAGCTCAGGTATGTGGGGACTGTTGAGCTTGTGGAAGGTGAGGCTGAGTCTTTTGGTTGGCTCCACAGAGAGGGGAAAACACAAACGAAAATAGCAGGACTTACCATTTGCTATGGCTATTACAAATGCTAGCAAAGCCCTGGTCGTAGGAGGATGTTTCGGTTTCAAAGTGGTGTCACTCTCCCTGGTGGTTAAGTTGGGGAGTCTGATGTGTCCCACCTATGGAGATGTGCTCTTCTACTGATGGTCACGTCTTCTGGGAATGAGACCTTTTGTGGGAGTCAAGGATTTTGGAAGTAGTACTTTTATCATGTGAAACCACAGGGCAGCTGACTTCTCTAAGCTTCCCCGATGTGAATTACAGTACTGTTTTATTCACTTTGGTGGCTTAAAAAGGGCAGACTTCGCTGCAGCATTTTTGATGCCAGGCTCAGCCATATGATGAAACTTCACAAAAATCACAGATTTACACAATGTCCTCATTGTGCTTTCAGACCCTCTATGGGTTTTCTACCTAGTGTGGTAGACAGTTCATGCCACTTTTTGGACAAAATGACTTGGCTGCTGGCCAAAAAAGGGGTTCCCTGAGGAGTTGGGGTGGTGAGAAAGCACCCCAACACCCACTGATGTTTTCCTCTTAGCAATGCCTGTGCTCCGTCATCAGGTTCATAACTACATGATGCCACCTCATGACAGAAGCTGGAGGGATTATGCCCCTGATCAGTCACATCCAGAAATCCCATATCAGTGTCCTGTGACGTTTGGCCCCCGCAGTCACCACTGGCAAGGCCCACCTTGTGAAAATGGTAAGGAATGTGTCCAGGAAGGAGACAGAAGAACAACCTGGGCTCAGGGTGTGGGCGACCCCGGGTGATCCTCCCAGGCAGCACAACAGGGCTTTCCCCTACCACAGAGATGCAGAGAGACATCCCATGAAGTTGGGGTGGGGAGGGATCTTGCCTTATCCTGTAGGATGCTGAAGTCCTCAGAGCCATGATAGGCATCACTCTGTGTGGGAAATTAATTAAAAGACCCCAGAAATCATTCAAGCAGCTGAAAAATGTCCCCATTTTTAATAAATAGAGAAAAGCATGGGTATCTACTAGTGTCCAATGTCGATGGGTGTGAATTATAAAACTTGTCTATTTTTTTGTCTCAATTATTTGGTTAACACATTTTCACTCTCCATCACACTCTGCTTTCTTTGTCGTGTTAGGACAGAGAGATAGATTTTGTCAGTCCTCCCTCTGAATTGTCCCTTACAACTGATGGAGAGCTGTAACTTCAGGAGATCATTGTTAGTTCAGGTCCCTCGAGCAGTGATGAGTCATTTGGAGCTGTTCTTGGTACAAAGGGAGGGCCAGAGCAAAAGTAATTCACAAAACTCCTCTACAAAGGGGTGCCAGGCTCCAGAACACCCGCAGGGTCCCCCAGACGCTAGATGAGCTCCCACAGAAGGAATACCGACTAACTGGACACAGAAATTTTCACAAACCATGTTCAGCGAAGCTTTCATTATTTGGTATTTATTTAGGCGAGTGCACTGAGCTATATCTTGCACCCTTTTTTACTGTGTATTTTAAAAGAGAGTCTTGCTGAATTACCCAGGCTAGATTGCTGTTTGATCCTCTTGCCTTGAACTCCTGAGTAGCTGGGATTACAGGCCTGTGCCACCAGGCAGGGCATAAAACAAGCTTCTAGGGGGTCCAAGTTCATTATTTAAACAGAAGTCTTGACACGGGTCACCACATGTGTAGTCCTTTTATATTATCCTGGAAATAATTTCCTTGTCCCAATTTCACCGCCCTCCAGCACCTGCATTCCACCCATGCTTAGACTATGGGTTTAGTGTAATGCAACTTCTCTGATGCCAGGGAACATGGTTCAATTTTCCCCAAAGCTTACAAATGGCAAGCAGAATAAATGAGGATCCAATAATTTATTAATTTTTTTAACCAGCCTTATATAAATCTGAATTCTGGTCCTGCTGGGAGCTTGCTGTGTGAGCTGGTACAAATACCTCCCCCGCCCCGGGCCCCAATTTCCCTGTTGAGAAGTTATGGAGAAAGCTCCATGTTTTCATCCACAGCTGGGCTGTGACACCTTCTTTCATCACCCTGAATTTTTCCCACTGAACTTGGACTTTGGCCTCAGCCTCATAATCACACACTCTGTTGGTAGTGGACGTTTAGAGCCCATCAAGCCTGTGTTAGAAGGTGACAGGACATGGCTCCTCCCATCTTAAGAGCCCCCTGAACTTGGATTCTCTGCTTAGATGTCATTTGATCTTTATTTGCAAATACAGGTTGCCAGGTGACAGGAACCTTTTATGCTTGTGCCCCACCTGAGTCCCAGGCTCCTGGAATCCCCATAGAGCCAAGCATAAGGTCTGCTGAAGCCTTGGCGCTCTCAGGTGAGTGTAGTGCTTCCTTTAAGGCTCGGAGGGAGGTGGCATCTCTCCTCTGGGTAGGCTGGGTGAGGATTTAGACTCTTACCTTACAGGCTCTGGGGTCTGGAGTAGGCATGGCCCAGGCTCCACAAATATCACAGCAAATAAAGAATACTATTAGAAATCTCTGCAGGAGTACCTGCTAGCCAAACACTATTTGGAACAAGTCATTAACCTCTACATCATTACCTGCTCAGCTTTCTAGGAATGTGTAGCCAGGCTCCTCCTCCAGCCAACATACTTCACAGTGCAGAGAGACTTCATAGGCACAAGGGCTTTTCATTACCAAATGCAGTTTGTCCTTTCAGAGTTAGCCACAAAGAGGTGGTCCTGAACTGCTTCCAGGGACACTGGTTCTGGACCCTGGTCTCTCAGACGTTCTTATGCCCCCAAAGGAACATGTTGCTCTGTCTCCCTTGCAACTTCAATAGAATTTTTGAGCATGCATGGATTTGGTCTGATTTTAAAGTTCTGTTACTAATTAAGACTGCACTTAGAGATGCTGACCTGTTTTAAGGAAGCTCCAACATACTTGAAATATGCATCCTATGTTTATTTAGTCTTTAGATGATTTTTTGATGCTTTCAAATGGGAATGAATATTAAAAATGGCTTGCACATCAGAATTCTCACCATGCCTATGACCGCCTTAAAAGTCTGTGATTGAAAACATCAACTACATTTTGACAGTTTTAGACACTTCCCTTGTTTACTGGGGAAGAAGAAGTCTGGTCACCTAGTTCCTTCCAAATCTGATGCTCAGGGAGACATTGTGAGCCACTTAAGGGCAGAAGAGGGACATTTCTGAGCATCAGGGCTTGTCACTGATTCTAGAAAGCTCAAGACCTTCTTCTGGAACATCTAAGACTTGTATGGGTGCCCCAAGAGTAGGAAATCCATAGCTATTTATATCTCAGCAATCTTGTGATTCTGGTGACATTAAATGAAATGAAACCTGCCTTACCAGTCACCTCAGATGGCCAACGCCCCCTCTCTTTGAGTGCCTTGCCTGACTTGCTGTTTATAGAGGCAGCAATGGAAGACACCATGCTGTGGGCTGTCTCAGAACCTACCATTGAAGAATACAAGGGTTTTGTGGGTTTCTTTTTCTGGTTTGCATAATTAATTATCAACCCGGAGTGCACTTTTCAGAAAGCTATTCTTTCCAGGCATTGTTTGGGTTCCAACCACCACCACGGGCATCGTCTCTGCCTGGGGAGCCCTTTGCACACCCAACTTGCCCTTTAAGCCTGTGGGTGGTGTTTTCAAATGGTTTCTGAAATCAATAAAATCATCTGTCAATAAATTCCTGTCTTAAAGCTATAGAAAATAGAGTTGTTGGGTTCGTTTCAAAGTTGAACACAAAGTTTAGAGGGGTTTCAGGAGATTTAACATTGACTATTTTCTCATCAGCTCCTTCCCCTGCCCCAAGAACATTGACTTAAAATAAGAAAATAAAAGTATCAGTTTTCATAGGCCAGAGATTCTTATTTCAGTGCTTACCTCCAACATATCTATGTGGGTTTTTTGTTTTTGTTTTTGTTTTGTTTTTACTTAAACAACATCACGGTGACACTTTAGGGAAGTTCCAAATGTTGACACATTTGCTTTTCTTCTGAGATGTCTCTGTAGTTTTTACTAGTAGAAATTAATCTTAGAGTTGAACTCCAAAATTAAAATTGATTTGGCTGAAAGATGAATTCCCATTCAGTGGTGTTACTTCATATTTTAGACAAAAAGCCATCACTACTAACATCATCATCCCAAAACACCTTCATAACAGAGGTGCTGTCTAGTAAAATTGAGCTGAAAATCCAAGCAATACACCCCTCCCCAAGATGAGTAAATGGCCACATCAACATTTGAAAATGGCCATGTTAGAAAAATAAGTGTCTTTCCAGTCTAAGAATCTGCAGGGGACAAAGGCAGCTAACATCTCCCAGACTTCCTTAATCCTAGGACCTTGTTGGTGGAGCATCTTGACACTCTAGTAGTCCACCTGCTGTACTTCATATCAGTGTAGTAGTCACTGAGTCTTTGGGCCTCTGAGCATTGTGGTATCTGTCCCAGGTCCATCAGCACTGATTCCAGAGTTCTGTTCACAGACTGCCGGCTGCATATCTGCCTGTATTACCGGGACATCCTAGTGAAGGAGCTGACCACGTCCAGCCCCGAAGGCTGCCGGATCTCCCATGGACATACCTATGATGTCAGCAACCTGGACCAGGTCCTGTTCCCCTACCCAGAGGACAGTGGGCAGAGGAAGAACATCGAAAAGTTGTTGAGCCACCTGGAGAGGGGACTGGTCCTCTGGATGGCCCCAGATGGGCTCTATGCCAAAAGACTCTGCCAGAGCAGGATCTACTGGGATGGGCCCCTGGCCCTGTGCAGTGACCGGCCCAACAAACTGGAAAGAGACCAGACTTGCAAGCTCTTTGACACGCAGCAGTTCCTATCAGGTAATACACCTCACAATCTGTTAGAATGGAGGTGGCAATGGGTGCTGGCCAGGAAGGTCCCAAATTGTAGGGTCTGTCTACCCCAGGCAGGGGTCTTTTTCCTGAGGTCAGTGAGCTCACCCACAAATATGGTTTCTGCCTGGTTCGTATCTTACCTTTGTCTGTTGCATGCTTCCCTTATTAGCAAAGGGCCAGGAAGAGGTCCATATGAGCTGGCCAGGATAGACTATGGTGCAGGTTGATATCTTAAGTTATCATTATCATTATTATTATTATTATTGTTGTTGTTGTTACTATTATTAGTCTTTTTTTGAGGCAGGATCTCTATATCTCAGGTTGGCCTAGAACTGGAGATACTTTGGGATTATATGTATGCACCATCACACCTGGCTAATAAATTAAAATGTGGGTTTTCAGCAGCACGTGCCTCTCTCCCCCAGCAAGGTTCCACTGTACTGGCTCTACGCTCTCAGCAAATTTATCTGCTGACACTACAGCTTATTGGGGTTCCTAGAAAAATTGAGAAGGTTAGAAGCACATTGTTAACATTCTTGGTTATGAGATGTGTCACCCTTATAAAAGTACCACACTGCAGGTGGGACCAAGGCTGAGAGTGTAAGGAACAACTTTAGCAAGCGGGAAATGCTGAGAAAGCTTGGCGTTATCTCTGGCATATGAAGGCATCTAGTCATGTTTTCCAGGGCCTATACTTATTATCATTTGAATTTTGATTTTGGTAAGTTAGCCCCGGGCTGGCTTACATGAAGCCATTAGCTTCCCTGCCTGTCTAGCAGAGGATGTCTTTGGGGGAGTAGGCTACTCTGCTGGCTGCTGTCCATCTCCCCATTGTATCCTGAGTGAGCTTGCTTTCTTCTTGATGCCCTTTCCAAACAGCCCACACCTTGGCTTTTTCTGTGCTTTCCATTTCTTGAACCTGAACTTGTTTTGCTCCTTTCATCCATGCACACCATGGTGGTTTAGAATGTATGTGCACTGTGTTATGGCTACATTGCACTAATTAGCGTGTGTATCACCTTGCATGCCCATCTCTTTTTATTTTGGTAAGAACACTACTTGAAATCTACTCTCAGCTATTCTCAAGTACATAGTCCATTATTACAGTCATGAAGATATACCACTGTTGAACTTGTGCTCAGCAAACTCCTCTTGTCTTAGTGAGAGTTTATATTCTTTGAACCACAGCTTTCTCGGCTCTCCCCACTTTGGGTGACCCCCATGCAGTGCTACTTTTATGAGCTCAACTGTATGAGTTCACATGGGTGCATCGTACAGTATTTGTCTTTGTAAGGACGCTTCATTTCACTTAGCACAATGCTCTCCAGGCTCATCTGCATTGTTACAAATGGCAGGCCCTCCTTCTTTTTAAAGGCTTAGTAATCATCTGTTATTATCTGTATCACATGACAGTCTCCTTATCCATGTATTCCTTGGTGGGCACATGGGATGACTCTTTATCTGAGCTGCTTTACCTAGTGTTGTTACCATACGGGAGGGCATCCTTCCATTCATTCACAGTGAAGACATAAAGCACCGATGTTCTCGCTCAGCCTTTTGAGCTCCAGTGACCAGGATTTGCTCAGTCACTCCTTCCTAATACTCCTTTATTTCCCAAAGCAAACATGCTCCTTGATAAATATCCTTTCCTAAGAAAGGTGAAGGATACGTGGTGAAGACCCTTGGAGCTGGGCATGATCTAAGCCTTGGTGGGACTGTTTTGCTTCCCTTGGGTTGAGTTCTAGTGTTCATAGTCCAAAGCAAAGAAAAGCAACTTCTTGGAATGATTGTCTGCACATCCTATATTTGCCCTGGGGTTTGGAAGTCCTCATGTGTTCCCCTAGAAGGCTACCGCCAATTCTCTGCTTGACTAAGGTAACCCAGAACAATGACAATTGCCAGAGACAGAGCTGGGAGGTACACAAGTCTTGTTTTTCTTTTCCCAGTGGGGATCCAGGAGGCAGGTGCCATAGGAGAACGGACACCATGGGCTGGAAATTCACTTTCTAGGACTTATTGGTTATCCATAAGAAAGAGCTGGTCATCTTTGTTTCCTTCATCTGTAGTGGGACCTGTTCTTTTTGCCACCCACAGCCTCCACAGTCCCTAGGCCTCACTGAGGCCCAGGGAAGCGAACACAGCAGCTGAGAGGCACAACAGCCCCTGCACCTTGGGCTTCCCACCCAGTGTTCTTGAGTTAGCAGCTGAGGTGGGCTTTCTCAGAGTTGCTACTCTGACTAGCCTGTGGTGTAGGCGTCTTCCCAGCCACAGGGCTATGTACTTTACACATTGTGACTAAACCATTTGGGTTTGATTTGAATTCTGGAAGAAGAAAGAGAAAGAAAAGCAGGAAATCGGTTCTGTGAGCTTCTAGAAGCTCTTCAGTTGCAGAGAGGAATGGAAATCTTTGATAGCTACCCATTTAGGATTTGCACCCTACTAGGGACAGTCCCTATAGGCTATAGGGTTGAGCCTTCATATCAGATAAGGGCAGAGTCTTCAGGGCTGCTCTGCAAGGGCAGCGCCTTCATGTCAGTTTCATGCAGACAAGACTCTGGGAAGCCAGCGCCAGGAGGAAGAGTAAGGGTTAATGCCAATGGTTGGTTGTGGCTTTCTGTTCGTTCTTTGTAGCCGTGCTGGGGATGGAACCCAGGGCCTTGCACATGGAAGGCAAGTTCTCTGCCAGTGGCGGTGCCCCCAGCCATGGGCAGGTTTCTTTTCAACAGTGTTCTTGTCTGGTTCATGTCTCTCGGGTAGGAAGAGCCTTAGCAGGCACAGCCTTGCCAGAGGGGCCTCATCAGCCCCCTTCTCGCTGCATCATTCTGTCCCCAAAGTGAGAGTGAAGCCTCCTCAGGTCTGTAGTTTGGAGTTTTTGACCTAGTCCCAAGTGGGACACAGCTGCCAACAGCTGGTGTGGGAGACAGATGTCCTTGGTGCCCAAACACCACGTGGCCTCCATGGTTAGGCAGTGATGTTTAAAAATAACCGCAGGCCACCAGAACACTGTGACTTTTTAAGTTGAAATGTCTCCTTTGCCTGTGCTGTTTGTTTGCCTCACCAAGACGACTTTTCTTTGTCTTTTCTGTCCTCCCTCAAATCTTTCTCTGACCTTGTGCATTTCTGTGAGTCCAGGGCTGCAGAACCAAGTTCTTACACTTTGGTCATGTTCCTCAAGAATAATGAAGTAAAATGAGCGTGTGAGATCACATGTGAACGCGAACATGTGGTTTTGGTTTGGTGTCTGGGGTCTGCCCTAAGGGCTGCACTTAGGGAGACAGAGTTCGGGCTCTCCCAAAGCAGAATCACACGTGACTCTTGTTCTCCATTCGGCCCGCTTTACCAGGTGTCTGAGCAGTTTTTTTGTTGTTTTTTTTTTTCCTTGTGGGTTCTCAGAGCTGCAAGTGTTTGCTCACCATGGGCGGCCAGCACCGAGATTCCAGGTGACTCTGTGCTTCGGTGAGGAGTTTCCAGACCCCCAGAGGCAGAGGAAGCTCATCACAGCTCATGTGAGTACCCAGTTACATCTCTGCCGAGTCGCACATTGTGGAGCAGTCCCTTTTAGAGAAGTGACAAGTGAATAGTAAATGTCAGCTCACCTGGGAAAATAAATGCAGCTCTTAAAATAGCACAGGAGGAAGCAGGCCCCAGTGAGCAACACAGCACAGGGACCTGCAACCTGCTTCCAGCCAAGGTTTGTTACCACTGAAGCAGCAGGGTGGATGTCTTAAACCCACAGCTGTGTATGTCCGGTATTCTTCATCTTCCCTTTTACAGGAGTTTTCAATAGTTGGTACTAAGAGCTGCCCTCTGACATCTCTGCTTCTTGTGTGCTTTTAAAATGCTGTCTACTCTCCTAAACCTTCCCTGAGGGGAAGAAGTTACCCTACTGGGCAGATGCCTGTTGTGTATTGTGTAGGTTCCCTCCAGATGGTTCCCAGGCCCTCTTTTTACTGTGGAACTTTGGGAAGTTATTTAATAGTTGGACAAGGAATCTTTGGAGGATACCTGGTCTCTTCAAGAGTCCAGGTAGGCCAGTCCATCCTCACAGCTATCCCAGTTGAAGATGGATGCAACTATGGTCTGTAAATATCTTTTTGCAAAGAAAAAATAACAGGTTTATTTAGATAATGTTTAGCACTCATTTAATAATTAAAAGGTAGTTCTAAATAATTAGAAAATTTTACTTTATTACATATCTAGAAAAGTATCCAGTACCAAGTAAATGTGACATCCCCAGATATTCACATTATCTAAATGCAAATGAGATTTTTAGTTCTGATAGTATTTCTTGGTGAAAATTGAAAGCTGGGCATACAGCTCAGTGGTAAGCAATTGTCTGGTACTGGTAAAGCCTTGGATTCCAGACCCAGCTGGGGATGGGCGTGGGACACTGATGTTGAACATCCAGCCTCCCTTCTTGATTGCAAAACAAAATCCAAGAAGCAACAAAACTATAATCCTGGATGTGACCATTTTCTCAGTTCCATCTGGTGGTTGATACCAAATGAGATTGTAAATGAGTGGATGAGTCTAGCTTTGATAAGCACCATTTTAAAAGTTGTGAGTAAATTCTTGCATCAATCTGATTTTAAAGATTTTGGGTGCAGTGGGACTCCACAAGGAAAGGCAAGGATGGGCCTACAGGTAAAGGACCTCAAAATGCTGCCATATGGTCCATAGATGGGCAAGATACTTGGGTGCATACTCATGGACTCTCCTGGTTTTCTTATTACAAACGTAATTCATATGGGTGCTCACAGAGAAGTCATATCAGTCATTATATATCAAATAACACAAAGTCTTAATGTATATATGATTGGTTGATACAGATCATTCAGCCTGCCTTGGTGAAGGCTGGCTTTGATTGGGAATGTGATCTATGCTCAGAAGCATAGTTGTGCATATTACACAGTCATCTGATCATTCAGGGTAATCCCCTCTCCCTGTCAAACTCATGAACTTAACTTATCCTAAGTTTTATTTAGCCTTTTAATTTGATCATTTCACCTGATAATATCTAGTCATTCAGTTAAACAAATTCCAAGAGGCAATTGGTTTGAAAATGCCACATTTAGCTTCAATTATAAAACCAAGAATTCTATTCCCAGGATATTATATTCCAGGTATTGTAAGGGCAAACAAAACTGGCTTTTCAAATGGCTCTGAACATGAAAATGCTTTGCTATGTTATCTTATATAGCTTGTGGTTTTGCTTAGAGTCTGAGGGTCATTTCATGATGTGTCAAATTGTATGGCTCTAAAAGATTGTTTTTTAATGTCTACTAATGCTTTAATGTCTACTAATGTCTTTTTAAAAAATGTCTAATTAAAGGTGGAACCTCTGCTAGCCAAACAACTATATTATTTTGCTCAACAAAACAGTGGACATTTCCTGAGGGGCTACGATATACCCGAGCACATTAGCACTCCAGACTACCACCGATCCCTCCGTCATTCCTCCATTCAAGAGTGAGCCAGCCTTTGAGCCAGCCGCATGAAGGATTTTGCTTCATTGTAAATACTCTGACATGGCAGCTGATTGACGCCCCTTTTCTTTGGAAGAACTAAGAAGTGGGTTCACAGCTGAGGACAACAACAACAACAGGGATTTGTGAAGAAAACAGCTCTCTCTGCTCAAGAGAGGCGCTTGTCCTACAAGAGTGACTGTCATCCAGGTCTTGACAAGTGCCGGTATTTTGGTGACTGTGCCCTGGCTTATGACTGTGAAACTTAATCAGTGATGTGTTTACATGTACTTAAATGCTGGCTTGAGCCTGGTGTAGACTGGCTTCCAGCTTGAAGACTGGAAAACTGTGTCAGTGTGAATCCCTGACGAGAGAAGGCAGACTTAAGTATTACTGGTCCATTTCTCAGGGAAGTCAAGTCTGAACCGGAGACTACTGTGCCCACCCACAGAGAAATGTGTTCCTGGATGGAGGAGCTGTAGTTCTCCTGGATCACGCCCACTGAGTGAAGGGACCTGAATCTCAGCCCCAGACTAGGTCGCAATGTCTCCAGGCCATGCAGAGTCTCTCTAAGGGGACCCTTCATCCTATGTGCTCCCTCTTAGGCCTTCTCTGACAAGTCAGCTGGTGAACGCTGTGGTTACCTACTTGAGCCAAAAAGCATCAGGGGATACATAAGATGGGGCACGTTTGTATGTCCTTCTAGCTAACAATGACTAGAAAGCATTTTTTGTGGTCTCCCCTTTCGGTTTTGCCTCTCATTCTTTAGAATTGTTGCTGGCTTCATGTTTTTTCTTTTCAGAAATGAAAGGAAGGAAGAGAGAGAAAGAAATCAAGAGACTGAATACTAGAGATAGTTTTTTAAAGTTCTGTGCCATTTCCCCTTCTATTTGTTTTGTTGGCTATCAGCAGTCTCCATGGCAACACTGGAGGGGTGGAGCCTTTGCGCAGGTTGGGAACTGTCAGGACACCGTGGTTCAGCTGACTGTACAGCTGCAGACTCAGGGGGCTGTTTCTGCTTATTTTGTATATTAGATGCTTCCTTGTGCCAATAATAGTTTGACAGAGCCTCAAAATTACTGAGCTTTTCCAAAAATACATTTTAGTTTTAGTTTTCTACACATATACATGAAGTTGCCTTTAAAAAGAGAGAGAGAGAGAAAGCGAGAGAGAGAGAGAGAGAGAGAGAGAGAGAGAGAGAGAGAGAGAGAGAGAGAGAGAAAGAGGGAAATGTGTTGACACACTTTTATGTACCTAACTATGCGGACTTACCTCATCTTTTGAGTGGCATGTGGAATTCTACTTCACTGTGCCTGGCTGTGGTTCGATATCTCATTAGCTACTTGTTGTGGATGCATCCCAGCAGCCCACTGAGTCTCGTGAACTGAAGTCATTTATACATCTTATAGATGCAAAACATTTTGGGGTATATTATCCCAAGGGAAAATGAAGAAAAAGTTGGGAACTGCTCTTTCCCGGAGGCCCCAAACCATAGCTAGCGTCCTGGAGAACATTCAACCACACCCACATCTGGCACTTCACCAAAGTTCTCTCCCCATCCTGTGTGACCATGACTCTTCTTCCCCTAAGCAGATGCTTCATCCCAAATGCCATGTGAATTCTTTTCTTTTTCCTTCATGTTATGCTGCTTTAACAGTGATGCTGAGTTTTCTGGAAAATGTTTGATGGTTTGGACCACCAAGTCTTATCTCACTTTACAGCCATGCATGCTGATGGCTTCACCCTTGAGGGATCTGTAGGAAAGTGAAGCCCAGAATGATCAGGCGAACACTCCTGACACAGGAAAGAATGGCTTCCTCATCCCTGTTGAAACAAAGTGGGATGCACATACTGGAATCTAGTTTGCCCTCGTTGTAAGACACCGTTGAAGAGGGAGGCTGTGGAACACTCCATCACAGGGAGAAAGTATACAAGTTTCGTGGGAGCATACTGTTAGCTTGTTTCTTGTCTTTGAGCAATTATTAATGTCTATAGTTTCAAACTAAAAGCCCCAAACCCCTCTGTTGCTGTCCTGGACGAAGAAGGTGATAGAAACCACCTTTTGAGATACAGCTAGACTCGATTGGAGCAGCGACGGGCCTGCTCCACTGAGAAGAGGCCTGGGTGTACTGCCTGAGTGGCTGTATGCCAAGCACACAAGGAATGCCAGCAGGCTGAGTTTGGCAGCTGATTAAGGCACGTGTGAGGTGCCCTTACTCTGTAGAGGAGTTGAGTGTGAGCCCCAGCAGTAGAGGAGTCTGGGAGTCTGGGCATCATGTCCTACACAGGAAGGGCCTTCAGTACTGCTTTAAGAACTTATGTTTCCATGGGTGACATTTTGACAACAATTCAAACAAGGTTTAAATGCCCTTTCATTCCAGTCAGTCTTGTCCTTCCTACTGGTCAATATTTTTTTGTTGTTCTTGGTGGAAATTGTGAAATTGTTAAGGCCTTCCTTTTTGTTATTTATCTCCCTAAGTCAAGTGGCTGCTGTATCCATTTGGATGTTGCCATAGGCTGCCCTACCACACACATCTTTTCGCAAGCTGCCTCCTCAGTAGCTGAGCCCTGCGCTGTAAGGGGGGCTCACCTGGTCTTTTGTAACTGCTGCTCACTCTCACATGGACGCAGGGATGATTGATTTTCTGAATCTATCTTCACTGCTTTAAGAAACGTGTCTCCAGAGATTACTACAGTGAACGAGAAGAGAAAGGCGGGCAGGCCAGCTCTATTAGACACTGCTATATGTTTCCCACTCCTCAAGGTGGACCAACCTCAGAGAGAGAGACATCCATGCCCTCCTGCTCCCATGCCTCGGGCACCCACTTCATAGTGTGAGAACTGTGAGGGGCCAGGACTCAGAGATCTCTGGCTTAGAGCCCATACTTTGGGGGTTCTGCCATGTCTGAGCCTGGAAGGCAAGGACGCCTGCCATCCTGCATGCACTGTTTGCATACGCCATGGATTTTGCTGTAAACTTGCTTCACAAAGCAAACTGTGTGTTTTAAAATATTTGATAAATAAAGCATTTCTAGGAAGATTGACTGTGGCGCATGTTTAATGCCGTCCTGACAGCCCTTGAAATACTTCCTCCATCTGCTGGGTTCTTGGTGAGGCTGTCAGCACCCCTACTTCCTTCCTGGCTGCCTGTGTGTCCTTGAAATCAGAGCTTTAAAGCATTCAGCTGAAGAGAGAGAGAGAGAGAGAGAGAGAGAGAGAGAGAGAGAGAGAGAGAGAGAGAGGAGAGAGAAGCGGGGGGGGGGGGGGAGACAGCACGCAGCACGCTAGCTCCACAACTGTGCCATTATGAGCCTGTGTCTTCAGCTGTGTTTGAGGGGAGCACCTATTCACCCCACGCTCCCCCTGCCCTGTTATTTCCTCCCTAAAGCTGTGTTCTGAAAGGACTGGTGGATCCAGGGTTTGTTTGTTTTTTATTCATTTTAAGAAAAAAATTGATTTATAGTGCATGTGTGTGTTTGCCTATGTGCAGGTACATGCACATGCAGGCACCTGTAGAGCCAAGAAGGGGATCTGATCCCCTGTGACTGTTGTTACAGGGGTTGTTAGCCACATATGTGGGGACTGGGAACAGAATTCCGGTCCTCTGGAAGAGCAGTAAGTACTCTTAATGAAGCTGAGCCATCTCTCCAGACAGTTGAAATAGTTTTTAATTAAAACAATGTTTTGTTTTATACTTCAAGTCCCTCTGAGTTTGTTGTCACAGAGGTAACATACAGTGAGCCTGCATTCTGATAGGGCAGATTTTAGGGGACAGGCACAGGATGTAGGTAGAAACCTGGGTGTCCCCCAGAATAACTTGGCTGGAATTCTCTCTGAGAATCCAAGCCAGAGAATCTCTTTCTCAGCTGAATCTCTTTTCCTGACATGGCTGTGAACTCCCATATTGTCTCGTCTCATAAGAATCCTGTCAGCCCACAACTGTAGCCTGAGCTGTGAAAAGCTCAGGGCTTCACAGAGCTCTGGGGAAAGGTTTTAGTTTGGCTGTAGGATACCCAGAATATCAGGGTAATTTTGAATTTACTAAATGGTAACCAGTTACCCCAGTACTTCTACTTCGGGAGCTCCCTGTGCCCATAAGCATAGATGGATTAAAGTCAGCACACACACAGCCAAGATTTCACCAAGTAATTCTGCTACTCGAACCTACACTTGCTTGAATGGATTTTGCTGGCTCAAGCTCTTAGGTAATTTTATATTTCTGCTGGGCTCCAGGTCTTAACATTTTCTTTCCAGTGCAAGTTTGACTGTTGGTTTGGTTTCCTGTAATCAATTGGTAGTTCCAGGACAAACACTGTTGTGCCTTGCACATGAGCAATACTCACCTATCTCAGAAAAACATGGTACCCATGCATGCCATTTTTCTGGGAAGGAACTGTAGGGTTGGCTGTAATGTCTCACATTTTCCAGCAGAGGCATTTTTTTTTTTCAATTTATGTCTAGTTTTGAATTCCAGGGCGTCTGAGGCCAACCAGGATGTGCCTTCTTCAGCTCAAGCAGTAGCTGGAGGGCTGTCTTGAGGATGTCTTCACAGGTACCCTGTTCCTCTCCCCTGGGAGACTTCTCCTGCCACCTGCTCACCTAGGCAGCCCTCTCCCATGAGATTGGAGTGTCCTTTCTAGAAACATGTCACCTCTCGTGTGTACTCCGTTTGGTTCTGAGAAGAGTGGCATTTCTGTGCCACTAAGAAATGATTTCACACTCTGTCTCCGGCTTTGCCTTCTCTCCTTTAGGACCAGGGAGCAAAATGGCCCAAACATTGAGAAAGACAAATCCTGCCAGCCCTGTTGGCCTTCTCGCTTAGCAGAAGAAAATGCTTAATCTAGGGAGATAAGACAGAAGATGAGACCAAATGAGGTGTAGATGCCAGCAGCCCCTTAAAAAGAGAATTATATTCTGCCTTCTGGAAGTAATCTGAGAGAGGTCTGCTGGAAGGAATGGTGGCAACCACATGTGATAAAGGACCACAAACTCCATGGTTGACTATGTGGACCAGTAACCAAGAAGAATGGACTTGCTGAGATGGGTCTGAGCAGAGCTGAATATGGGGCCAGAACCTACAAACACATGCACATGAACGGGGGGTGAGGCAGAGTTAGGGTCCTAATAGCTCCTTCAGGGGCACAGCCTCAACGTCTAACTTCCTCACATTAGGCCCCAGCTATCAAAGGATGAACTGAAGATGTCTCTCCTTCCAGTACTGCTTACCAACCACTGAAGCTATGTAATGTCTTTGTCTACAGCGTAGCACTGGCTGTTCTTGATGGCAATTTCCAAGCTCATTGATTTGTCCTTCTGACTGTCAACTCTTTAAAGACAGAAACTGTATATACCATTACGGACCCGTTATCTGCCCATGGTGGGAACTTAGTAAATAGATGGAGAAAGATGGACTTAGTGAACTTAGGTAACTCTGCAAGTCTGTGTAGCACTGTCCATTAAAATCCATAGACCACCTATCTATGGACCAAAATAGTGCATAACCGCTTAACACTGGATACTAGTTAAGGACTTTATGGCACGAGAAAACCTACTTTGTTAGGGTCAAAGAAAGTATTTTAAATTATGTAATATATGACAGATTAGAACCCATTTCTGTATGATCTGGTAAAAGACCCGAGATGGGATAAAAAAAAATTGATCCAATTCTTATCAGAGAAAGCTGAACAAAACAGAAATATCCCAAGTGGAATTTTCCTCTTTAAAAAAATAAATAATAACCAAGATGGTGCCCAACCACAGCACAGTGGGTCCAGGTCAGCAGAAGTACCAGAGAGGAGCTCTCTACTCTGAGATGTAGGCACCACAAGAACAGCTGACTAGAGAGATACTATCGAGGCTGCGGAGATGTAACTGGGCGCTAGATAGAGCGTGTGTGAAGAGATTTCTGAAGCAGATGTAGTTGGCAGACTGAGGTGGCAGTGTACTCTGTGAGCCTGAAGTTCATATTATCCACGGGTGGCCAGGAATGAATTGATCAAGAGGTATAATCCCAGTCCCATGGGGGCTCCACAGCCACCAGTCCACAGTTCATGGGCTTCCACTAGTGTGGCTGGTCATCTCTGCACATCCTCCCATCATGATCTCGACGTCCCTCGCCTGCAGAATCCCTCTTCTCTCTCATCAATTGGATTCCCAGAGCTCAGCCTGGTGCCTGGCCATGGATCTCTGCATGTGCCTCCATCAGTCACAAAGGCTCTATGATGACAATTAGGTTATTTGCTAGGCTGGTCACTAGAGTAGACCGGTCCAGGCACCCTCTGGACCACTGCCAGCAGATCAGGGTGGGGTCATCCTTGTGGATACCTGAGAGCTTCCCCAGCACCCTGCCTCTTCCTATTCCCATGATGTCCTCATCTATCATGGTATCTTCCTCCCTGCCCTCCCACTCTGTCCCTGTTCTAGGTTGACCCTCCCATTTCCTTATGTTCTTATCCCCCACTCCTCACCCTCTGCCACCCCCCACACCCAGTCCGCTCATGTAGATCTCATCCACTTCTCCTTCGCAGGGTCATCCATGTGTCCATCCTAGGGTCTTTCCCTGTTAGCTAGCCTCTCTGGAGTTGTGGGTTGCAGTCTGGCCATCCCTTCCCTCACATCTAGTATCCACTTACGAGTGAGTACATACTTTGTTTGTCCTTCTGAGTCTGGGTTACCTCACTCAAGATGGAAGACAGTTGTTTGGCTCGAACTGTTTGGGAGGCACCCAGGCAGGAGGATCGGGATCTGTCCCTGGTCTATGGGCAGGCTTCTGGGAATCCGGTGCCTGCAGTGTAACACCTTGCACAGCCTTTGTGCAGTGGAAAGGAGCTTGGACCTGCCTAGGCTGTGTGCTGGGCTCTGCTGACTCCCCATGGGAGACCTCGATTTGGAGGATGTGGGGATGCGGGGTGGCTCAGGAAAGAGGGCGGGGGTGGGGTGGGGTGGGGGAGGGAGGAGAGGGGATCTGTGGATGGTATGTGGAGTGAGTAGAAAATTTCTTAATAAAGAAAAAAATTTGAAGTGGAAAAAAAAATAAAGCCCACTAAGAAATCATTAAAAAAAAAGAAAAAAGGTATAATCCCCACCACTGACTGCTTGGATGAGCTACATAGTAACTCAGAAAGTATGCTGCTGAACTTGCACAGTCTCAGGTGGATGTGACTGGAAAGAGACCTACTAGTTACAAGGGTCAACATAGGCAGGTAGGCATTCCACATCCTCTCAGAGCCTTGGTCACAGGAAACCCTGTAAATGGGAAAGAATGACACTCTAAACAGCAGAGATGAACTTGTAATTAGAAGGTGGAATATCTCAGACTGGAGAATTCCAGCAGAGTTCCCACAGCAGAAATGCCTCTCCTTAGGAAGGACACACTGACTTATCTTATTTGAATTGTTAAAGCCTGCAGCCACCACCCAAAACCCATCTAGCAGAGATTGCTACAAAAGATAATAAAGCAGTTGGGAAAAACCATATTATTCCAACTAGGAAGCACCATGGACTAAGGTTATTTTATCTCTATTTAATTTTTTTACTTAAAATACTTTAAATGTACACCCTTGTACTTCAATTAGTCCATTATGATTTGGCTTCTACCTTGCCTAAGTAGGCATTTATAAATGCCCTTTTTCTCTGCATCTATGCCCGAGTATTTTCCTTATTATCTCATACCTCTTACCCACACACATTCACACTTTACTTCCTCTTTTCTCCTTTTCCCATCCCACCTCATTTCAACACTTAGTTATTTATATCCATTAAATGATTAACCATGTCATACACAGTCAGCACGCTAGGGCTGCTATCTCTGAAACTTCCTGGGACACAAATGAGTGCATGTGTCTTCTCTGCGAGTTAGCACCAGGACTGCTGTGAATCCGTCACCTCTGTTACTGCAGTTGGCTTTCTCCCTAAATAGTCCTGGGGAGCATGAGTTCAGGTGAAGACAGTTCACCAGGAAGACTCGGGAGAAACAAAATAAACACACAAAAAGGGT